CCAGCCATGCCATCTTAGTTGGGTTAATTTGTATACTGGCTCCTGATTAGCTGATGGGCGTGGCTTGTGGGTGTAGCGGAGTGGCAGAGTGATGGTTAATTTGCATCTTTCTCTTTTATTAGTGTAGATAGTTGCCATTCTGTAGATTGCATAGCCATGACCAATTTATTTGTTAACTGGAAATTTGAACCTTTTGAACCCCTTCACTCATTCAACCTATCTCCCCACCCCTGCCTCTGGCAACCACCAGTCTCTTCTCTTGCTGCATAATACAGGGTGTCCCCCCAAAATATATACACACTTTAATAGCCAATACCTATTAAATGAAAGTGAAATGTACTTTATAATTATTCAAAGTGTGTGCATACATTTTTGGGGGACACCGACAATTTGACATGAGATCTGGCAATGGAACAGTCAGGAATCTCAGACACTTGACCCATAAATTTAGGGAAAGAAATTATGTGGGGGAGGTGCAAATTGGCCCACTGTTGGGCCAAGTATGTGCATGTGAGAAGTCCTGCCACCACCCCACCTGTTCCCACCAGACACACCTTGTCCCCCTGCCTTTCCCACCTTAATCTACGTGTCAACATACTCCCTTCTGACAGTGGGGAATTCTCATTATAAATATGCTCTAAAGTTGCTGGTTTCTAAACATTAGTTGACTGAAAGGTGCTGGAGTGGTCACGTGAGAATCACGTGAGGCCCAGAGCCAGAGACTATGATTTCATGGTTCCGGGGGGTCCTGGAAATCAGTATTTAGGAAACACGATCACTGCTCTCAGTGGTTTCTTCTCCAGCACATTTGGGAACGCTGCTCAGATGTAAACGGGAAGGGCAGTCTAGCCCCAGAAAGGCTCTCTCACTTGTTTAAACAAAACAATAACTACAACTTCCAGCCTATAGGGACCCCAGGCAGTCTGCCACACGTACTGGGTTACACAGATTTTATCTGGGGACAGCGATGAAGAGAACAGAACTTCTGGTCCCTGCCCTCGAGAACTCAGAGCCAATTCTGGTGAGACAAGACTGTCACAATGAAAACACTCAATAGTGTTTGTAGAACAGATACAACTAAGTGTATGATGTTCTGCAAACAGAGGGAGAATGACTGGCTCAATTTGAAAGGAGAAAGGAGCATTAAAGGAGTTCATATTGACATTCAAACTGGTGGCCCACCTGCTCTGTCACTGCCTATGGAACAGTTCTCTGGAGAGACCTGTCAGGCTGAGGGTGTGGTTGTGAGGCTGCATGGGGGTGACTCGTATGTCACTCTCTTAAGTAGCGAAGCCACTTCACTGTATATGTGCTAATAAGCTGGGAATGTCTTAAGTGGAGGAAATCTGGATGGTGACCAGGAAGGCAGAGAGCCAGCATGGAGCTTGGGGACACAAGATTTCTCTGTTGTTACACGTGCTGCTGACTAAGGCTGCCTCCCTTTTGCTACAGGGCATTTCCTTCTCTGAAACTGACCATCTCATGGGTGTCCAGGCCTCCTCCAGCAGCCAAAGGGATTTTCCCAAGCTATAAAGCAGGACCTCAGTGTTTGCTTACAGTGAAAAGAAGGTTGTTGACTATAAGGAACCACACCCATAGCCAATCTGTCTAGACTGTCCCTGTGAGTGAAACAGGTTTTCCCAAACTTGCCTGCTTATCAGAATTCCCAGGAGTGGAATTACTGGGTCATAGGCAGTTCCATTTTTAATATTTTGGGGTAACTCCATACTGCTTTCCACAGTGACTGCACCTGTCTGCATTCCCACCAACAGTGCGTGACGGTTCCCTTTTCTCCATATCCTCCCCAACACTTGTTTGTTGATTTATTGATGATAGCCATTCTGATAGGTGTGAGGTGATATCTCGTTGTAGTT